GCCACGTCAGCGCCACCCGCGTCAGCAGCACCACCAGAGGCGTCCGCGGCAGCGCCTCCAGGGGTGGCAGGCCCTGCAATAGGGGTGGCAGGGATCGCATCGGCATCAGCTCGACTGGCGAAGGTGGGCATGACCTCGAGGGCGGCAACGTCCTGGGAGGAGAGGCGGCATGGACCAGCATCAGCCCACGGGTCACGAGTTTGGAGTGCATCTCTGGGTGAGGCGCCACCCTGCTGGCCCGCCCATTGCGGGGCAGCAGCCAGGCCGTTAGGCGCAGACAGGGGACGATCTCGGCGATGTTCTCGTGGAGGTTCTTCCCGAGGTCGGCGGCGAGCACCACGTTCTGCGAGAGCAGATTCTGTACCACCTCGGGGTCGACGGTTACGTTGGCGGGGCTGATGTTCTCCTCCGCTGCGGCTGTTGGAGCCCCTTCTCTGGGGTCCTTCACGGCAAGTATCAGAATCGTCAGAATCCATGCAATAGAGGAAGAAAGTCGCATCTGAGAAAACAGAGTCGTGACTGAAAATATGGATGACCTCACGGAGAGGGGACTCGATCAGCACCTGTGTCGCGGGCCGCGCTGTCGAGCCCCCATAGGCTGACCTGTCCAGCTGACTTGACAGATGGATTACTTGAGCCAAAATGGCTTGAGCCAAAATGGCTACGGAGGAGAGAAGAGGAGGGGGAGGAGGCGGACGAGGATGGGGAAGAGAGGGGGACAGCGAGAGAGAGAGAGAGAGATACAACAACAGAAAGGCAAACACAGAAGCAGACAGACAGGCAGACAGACAGACAGGTGCATGGACGGACAGACCGACAGAGAAAGAGAGACATAGAGAGACAGGCAAACAGGCAGAAACACAGGCATACCAATACGTACATATATATATATATGTAAAAGAAGAAGGGCGGAAGAGTAAGAGAGAAACCACACCAACGACAACAACAACGACATCGACTACCAACAGTTTAAGACTGTGCGCTCTGCTCTGCCCGCGTATCGTTCAAGACGTATATTCCAAACCCTCGATACCCGCCCTCTTCGTCATCGATCGTACCCCTTCAGAGGTATAGATGTCTTACCTGCAACGTCTTGTAAAAAAGGTGAGAGCACAAGGAGAAACACTTTGAGTGAAACAGACAATGGTTAACAGGCAGGAGGGATCAACAATCCGTATTCTTCAGAAATGAAAAAAATCAACCACAACAACAACACCAGCAGCAGCAACACCAATCATGTTAAGACGGTTCACTCTTATCTGCCCGCGTGCCACTCAGCACGTATATCCCGACACCTCGGTACCCGACCTCTTCGTCTTCGATCGTGCCCCCTCTGGGTGTATATCGTCCTTACCTGCCGAGCGTAATTGGCGCAGCCCCTGAGACAGGGGAAGCGAGGACGGACGGAAGGGGGAGGGGAGAAGGACGGAGCAAGGGATTAGGGGCTAGGATTAAGTCGGGCCTGTCCCCCTACAGGGGGATTTTCCACGAAAAATAGAAAATACCCGCACAAAAGCCCAAAAATGGTCCAAACATAGTCTGGGGACTATTTTTTGAATAGTTGTTGACCTTTTGGGGGAACTTCTGGGGTATCTTTGATTCTTCGTCGAAAATCCCCCTGTAGGGGGACACGCCCGACATAAGGCTAGGAGCAGAGAACACGTGGCAGAACCAGACGGGCCCATCGGGCGGGCAGGCCTTAGCGGGCGGGTGGGGAAGGCGGGCCCACGCGGCCAGGTCGAGAAGGCGCGCTGCGGAAGCGCGGGCACTGCACGAATCCTGAGGAGACCTTGAGCGATGGCGCGATTCCCAAGTAGATCGTGAGGAAGGCCAAACAAAGCGAGAGTGTGATTCCTGAGTGTCGAGGGCGCGGCGTCTGAATAAATTGCGAAGAAATCCCACGCGAAAGCGCGATTTCTGAATACCTTAGGAGGAAGTCCCGCGCGAGGGCGCGATGTTGGAATACACTGTGGGGAAGTATCCGGCGGGGGCCGTTATTGTTGTAGCTCGGAGCCCAACAACACAGTTTGGTGATACCAAGCTTTTCCTTATAAACAGCCGGGTGCGACCCCCCGACGGGGGCACTTCAATTGAACAAAAATACAGAATGTCTACCGGAGGGGGATCTTATTCCTCAGAACTGAGACTTCAATGAAAAAGAAAGAAGGAGAAAGAAAGAGAGAGAGAGAGAGAGATGAAAAAAAGATGAAGAGAGAGCCAGAAGAGGAGGAGGAGGGCCACCAGACGGCCACTACGGCCAGTTTGTGGCGGGATCTCCTTGCACCGCGTGTCTCCTGGAAGCGTGAGACACTGCCAGACCTTCGAAACACATTCAGCAACGTGGGGCATTCACATTGGCCTGGATCAATAGTGGCGTCAAACGTCCCGCAGGGGAGCCTGATGAGACACGGAAAAGGCCATCATGGCCGCGAACGAGGACCAGGAGCTGTCTGAAACGTTTGCTCATCGGTCCGAGGTTCGGGCTGCGGGGGGGCCCTGGGCCCGAGGCAATTTGTTTCTCGCAGGCCCGAGATGGTCCTCCCTGCTCCCCATGGGCGCATCTTCGTTCTCTCGGTCAGAAAAGCTTTGGCCTCCTCCTCAGTAAGATGATCCGGTAATCGGGTCGCCTCCTCAGTGGTCAGCCTGTGGAAAGCTGTAGGCCTCGGTGGGAGAGACGCGCGTGCTGTCGCGGGTCCTCTGTGTGAGACCTGATTTGCTGCTAGGCCCAGGAGTGTGCCATGTGAGGAGAGACCCCGCGCCCTCTTGGAACAGAATGAACCATTGGGACCCAGTGTGCCACGCTGTTCCTCGTACACCGTCTGTTGCCAACCACAATCGAGCATTCGTACTGCTGCCGCGTGGCGGGGCCCCTTGGATCATGTTCGGCCCCCTCTGGTGGTGCCCCACGGCCCCCAGCAAGCTGCTCCTGGACGACATTCTTACACTGGCCCTCTCTCCGCAGATTTGTCTCCTGACTGGGAAGCAGAGCCGTCATGGCGCCAGCCATCAGAAGCCAACCTGCCCGGCGGGCGTTCAGGGCGTTGACCTAAGGAACCCTAAAAAGGAACGAGGCCCCTTTCTTCCATAAGTTAACCTTCGATTTCCCGTCGGAAACATAAGGAAAACCTGAGGCAAGCTGTGAAACAATCAAGGAACACCGAGCCCCTCCCCAACGAAAAGGGCTCCCTCTTCAGGGCCCCGACTGTATGATCAATACCATTCGCTTTCACGCGCCACTGGACCCCACTGAAGGGCTGGCGGCTTCCGCGGGGCACGGCCACGCGTTCCATGACCGGGGAGTTGGGATTGGCAGGCGCGTGGCGGGGAAAGGACCCCTTGCGCAGACCACCAGGCCGTATAGGTCGCCTCTTCTTTCTCTGTTTGAAGTGAACGCTTCCCCATATCTCTTTCCTGCTGGCATGGGTCTTCACTGCGGAGGGAGGAGGCAGAGGCTTGACAAGGCTGTATAGAAAGTGCAGCAAGATCCGTCGCAACCCGCGAAACGCAAAGACGTAAGGTGAAGCGAGGGGGAGCCCAAGCTCCACGTGGGTCTTCAGAGGGCTGGACTCGCTACTGCACTCCGAACGGCACCAAAGGAGAAAGAAGAAAGCGAATAGAAATAGGATCCCCCCCTTCTCCCTACTGCCTGCCTCATCTTCCCTCCTTCGTCATCCTCCCTCCCTTCCTGCCTCCTTCCCTCCCCCTGGTTGGCAGCGGGGGGCTCGCGCCTCCCGCAAAGGGGGTCCGCCTTGGCCCCGCCCGCCTCCCATCAGAACCACCGCTCGCGCGCGCGCTCGTCGCGCGCGCCGCTGTGGAGCGCAGCGCGTAGCGCGGAGCAGGGGTCGTGACCGACAACCGAAGGCCGTCGGGCCCGAGGCCGGCGAGGTCGTTGCTGTAGGCGCGATTCGGGTGGGGGTGACTGTGAGGCAGCAGCTCACATGCACGCGCACACTACGCAGAACCACACGCGAGCGCTAATTGCGCGCGAGCTTGAGTTCTACATGCAGGCCGAGGCGCTGTCATGAGACACTGTATCAGTGCCGCCACGTGCATTGGGGCTGGAACTCGCCTATGCGAGCTTTGCGTTACATTGTGGTCACCTCGTTCAGCACCAATGTTGCAACGTCCTTCAGCACTCCTCCTCCCAAACTCATGCTCTCCACATCCTCAAGCCGTTTCCATCTGCCTCGCATATCGCTCCACGCTCATATCCTCTGCATCGCACTGGACCAGAGCGCGCGCCTACGTTCTAGTCGAGGCACATTCAGCGAGGATTCTTCAACGCGTGTCGCAACGACGCTGGTGGTTACGTCTTTTCCTGCCTTTGGAGCTCTTTTGAGCGGGAGCTCAACAAGACCGAGGACAACTTGAACAGTCAGTTCAAACAGAACAGGATGGTCTTCTGAACCCCAGTCAGGGTGCCCTTTCGCTTGCGCCAGTGCGTGAAGTGGAGGCTACAGAGAGCGCTTGCTTGACAGCACCCCTTCCCCCTCCCTCCTTAACCTCCATGCCTCGCTCCTCGCCCCTCTTCCACCTCCTCCCCTTCCTGCTGCCCCATCCTTTACCTCCTCTTTCGTCCATTGTCCCTCTCTCCCCCTCCCTCCCTCCCTCCCTCCCCTCGTCCATCCCACCCTCTGTCCACCTCTCGGCCCAGGAACTTTCCTGAAAACACCTCCTTCCCTCATTCCCTCCCTTCCAACCTCTCTCCATTCCCTCCCTCCCCCTTCTCCTCCTCCTGCTCCCACGCTTCCCTCCTTCCCATCCCTCCTTCCGCCCTTTTAATCCTCCTCCTCATCCTCCTTGTCTCCTCCTCCTCCTCCTCCTTCTCCTTCTCCTCCTCCTCCTCCTCCTCCTCCTCCTCCTCCTCCTCCTCCTCCTCCTCCTCCTCTTCCTCCTCTTCCTCCTCCTCCTCCTCCTCCTCTTCCCTCCTCTTCCTCCCTCCTCCTCCTGGCGGAAAGCGCACACAGACCGAGCGAGGATAGAGGCCAGCGCGCCCCGTCCTCGAGCGCGGCGGGCACCTGGGAGGTGTTGGTGATGGCGCGCAGCTTCTGCGTCAGAACGTAGCCGTCCTCCCTCCTCTGCCCCCTGCTGGTGTCTCTCTGACTATCCTGTTAGCTCCCTCCTCCCCTCAGCACCCGCGTGCCGCGCAGCTGTCTTCTCGAGCGCGGCGCGATCGTGCCCGCACGCCCGGCTCCCTGAAGGGGTGCGCGTTGGCACCTTCCCGAGGTGTGCGCCAACGGGAAACAATCGATCATCTATCGGTGAGGAAGGCAGGGAACCAATCCTCCTCCTCCTCCTCCTCCTCCTCCTCCTCCTCCTCCTCCTCCTCCTCCTCATCCTCGTCCTCATCCTCGTCCTCCTCCTCCTCCTCCTCCTCCTCCTCCTCCTCCTCCTCCTCCTCAGATCTCCGACAGTAGGGCTTGTCCAGTCTTTTCGAGTTTCGAGTTTCTGGACATCTTCGTTGATTCTCGGCGGCTTTCCAGCCTCGGGATGCCTTGCAGCAGCTGCGCCTCGTCGAGAGCTTTCCAAGGGTACCCGGATCGTCCCGAACGGCCGCTGGAGGCCCAAGTTACGATCCGTAAGGAAGTCCGACGATGTGATGTGTTCAATTCGAATGTTTTTTTCTCGGTTCGGGCCAGGGGGCTCGTTCAGGCTCTGTGACCATCCATAATGGGTCCGGAACCAAAAACTACCCCCTAGGAAAGAGTCGGGAGCGCTTGGGGCCGCGAGTTGAACAAATATATCGGTGGATGTCAGGGTCCTGCTCCTCCTTGTCATCCTGCTTCCCCTCCTGCTTCTGTTCCTCCGTCCTGCCCTTGCTCTTCCTGCTCCCCCCCCTCCTCCTCCTCGTCCTCATTATGCTGCTGCTGGTGTTCCTCCTCCTCCTCCTCCTCCTCCTCCTCCTCCTCCTCCTCCTCCTCCCCCTCCTCCTGGGAGCTGGGATATAATGGCGAGAGTGTCATCGTAACCTCGTCCTCCTCCTGCACCTGCTCCTGCTACTCTTTCTTATCCTCCTTCTCCTCCTCCTCTTCCTCCATCTCCTCATCATCATTATCATCATCACCAGTACCGTCCTGGTCGCGAAAAAACAAAGGCGAGGACAACGGCGAGGCCGACGAGGACGACCAACAACACGTAACAACTAAGACGAAGACGGCGGCGACGACGACGGAGGAATACGACGACGGCCATCGTGACGACGACGACGAGAAAAACAACGAGGCCGATGACGAAAACAAGGAGTAAGATGACGAGGGCGACGTTTTGATCAGAGGTGTTCAGAGACTTCTGCGAGGCCTTCGGAAGCGTTCCGTTTCAACATCATCGGGACGTGTCCGATGGCGTGCTACCTCTGGTGTCCTACTGTTCCCTCGCATCCCTCCTCCTCCTCCTCCTCCTCCTCCTCCTCCTCCTCCTCTTCCTCCTCCTCCTCCTCCTCCTCCTCCTCCTCCTCCTCCTCCTCCATCCCTTTTCCTTTGAAACATATCCTCCCCGTCGCACCCCCAGACGCGTCCGTAGGCCAGGCCGGGCGTCTCGCCGAAGCTTTCTTCACCATCTATGATCCTGAAGCTCGCGATGTGCAGCAGTTTCACGGATGGAGGGCGGGCCGTTTTCGAAATGGAGCGTTCGTTTTAGCGCCGCGCACCTTCGCCTTAGAAGTTTGCGTTAGCTTCGAGGGTAGAG